AATCATGCTAAAGAAGTTCTTGTTTCCCTGGCTGATTGATCATTTGGAATTAATTTATCACAGAACTATCTTCATGTAAATGCACTGGTATATAAAATACTCTAAGAGGTCCTTAAGAACTCCAGGTGCAGCAATGCACTGAGAAAGTTAAGGTTTGTGAAGCCTCTGCTAGATACTGGGTTTTTTTAATATGTTTTTTTCAAAATTTCTTTTATCCACAAATGCCAAATAGAGATTCCTACAACATTTGACAATGTCAAGTTACCTGATAGTAAAAATGCTGTGTCCTTTTCAGTGCTGACTTTTGTCCTGCTAACATTTTTCTCTGGGTTCAAAGAAAAGTATTCTATTTGATTGAGCCTGATAAGCTCAATCTGATGAGAAAAATCCAGTAAGACAATCATTTTAACACCTGTATGATCAAATAGCACTGACAGCACTTAATCTTCAGCTGTCAAGTGCTTTCCCCTTCTCTTTCCACTAAGAAAAAGCCTGATTAAGCAGTTTAAGTTTCTTGTTCTGAAAAAGAGAAACTACTTGTTCTCTTCCACTGTGAGTCACAAATGTGTTGACCTTTCAGAATGGAGTGATGATTAACTTCAAGAAGCATCTGCAGTTTAACAGTTTCAACAGCTCAAGAGAGATCGATTACATGAGTCCGGATCTGTCACAGGATATCAACAACTTGGCAACAGATGAGAAAGTAGGCCTTGCTCTCTCCAATCCTCCCGACTTGGATTTCTCCAAAGTCACTTCCAGCATCCAAGAATCAGGAGTCAGGTACCAGAGGTAGCAAGGACTCGCCATTAAACTTCTGATACTCTCTCTTCACTGGTTTGGAGGCAGGATATGACCAATTGCTGGGGAAGATTGTTGCAATACTGCTACTGCTCATCCTTTGTCATCATACTTTCAAACTGCATTGCTTCTGGGTGACCTACAATGACATTATTAAAACCCCTTGCAAGAGATCAGTGAGACTAGATACACTGAAAAAAACCATTTGTCAAGAAATAAGAAAAGCTCCTCTTGAGAAAAAACAATGTTCTCAAACTGAGAGGATCTGGGTATTACTGCTGTAGTACCTATAACTGTCTAGAAGAATTAGAGAAGCAAGCACAGAACATGTATGTTTTGTTTCTTGTACAGGGGGATCTCCAGCATGGAAAGTTTCCTGTAGTAGTAATTCATTCCTGCAGCCAACAAGCAGGAAGAGAGGGACAGAAGCCCTCTTTTCACATTCACTCTGCAGCTGCATCAGGTCATGCTGCTTGCCTGAGTGCACAAAGCGGTGGAAATAGAAGGAAAATTATTTTTGCAGTCTTTCAACATCCTGGTATTAAATAAATACAATCAAAGCTCCAAACTGTCCAGCAGAATATGAATGAGTACACAGCTCTTCCCTACAGTCACAGACATTATTTTAGGGCTGTAGAACATGCCAATCAATTGAAGGTTTTGGCCAAGTTTGGTAAACTTAAGTCTCAGAAAAAAAAAAAAAATTAAGAACCACAAGAGATCAGCTTGAAATAAATTTTCATTTTGGAAGTAGAGCAATTTATCATTTTAATCAGATTACAGTAAAACTTTCTCCAAGCCAAAATATTTTCAGTTCTCTTGGACAGAATAATACCTTTGTCATAACAGTGACAGTTTCATAGATTCTCACTTTTCAAGCTATCTCAAGACAAGAAATATTCCAGATTCTCCACAACTCTCAAAACCATTTCTGCATCTCATTCTGCCAGTGGCCAGTAACAGTTCCAAAAAAATGCAAGAGGGGAGAGTATACATTGTTATTATTTGATAGAAAAAGCCTAAGCTACATCACTGAGATGCACAGGTTTGTCCTAAATAGAGGAAAAATCCTGGTGTTGAGCAGAATCCCTCAAAGAGTAGCATGAGCGACAGGGACCAGCACATTTAGAAGAGAGCTAGTTTTGGGGCTGCCTTTGTTGAGCTTGTGCAGCAACCAGTGCCAAGGATGTCAGTCTTCACCTGCAGCAACCTTGACACAACTATAATAAAAGTCATCCTCACTACAAGATACATTTCCTGACTTGTCAAGAAAAAAAAATCCTAAGCTTTGATGCAAGCTAAGATTAACAAAGTCAGTGAACTGTAAAATGCTCATAAATTAGCATATTCTAATCAAGTTTTAAGTAGGTTAGTATTGTGTCTGAAAGCCTGTTCAAAATTAGTTGTATTCTCTTTAGTGAAGCAAAAATGGTATTTCAAAGACGGAAAAACAACCTAAGAAGTAATCTTAGAGAAGTCTTGAATTAGACAACTACCATTGCTGAGAAGATGTGCTAGCAATTCCACCACAAAATTGTTAACTTAGCAGCCCACTACCAGCACCTTCAGTTTTTTCTAACTGCCTTTTTCTTGCTACTTCTCCTTTTCCTTCCACAAAAAGGAGGAAAAATAACAGAGAGGTAGCTAGCTCCAACTCTCTTATTCCTATACTCTATCATCCATACCACTTAACAGCTTTCAGCTTGTGGAGATTCCTGACCTCCATTTGTCCTCAAGCAGGACTCCCATTCTTCTTACCTTCTTTAAACTGTTTTTTCTGACAGCCTACAACATTTTCAGAGAACTCCATTTGAGCTCCAATCACCTTCCATGACCTCATACCTTTTTGCAAAGCTTTCTTCATCTGGCTGGGAATCTAAAGTAGAAATTTAATTACTAGGTTCTTCAAGAGCTGTAGGCAGACATACAAGTTAAACACCTAGAACATTAAAAGTGGCAGGACAAAAAGGGCTAAGGGAACTTTAGTAAGCAAGAATGCCTGTCCACAGTGTGTGCACATCGAAGAAAAGAGTGTAATCAAGGCAACACTCAATTACTTGACTGCTTTAAGAGACCACCTAGTACACTGGATGTCCCCATCTTGGAACCATATGCAAGATCACTGCAAACCAGATGAAGTCACCGCCCTCAATCTTTACAGCTAGTTATACTCGTCTCCAAGTACTACACATCTGAATTTATTAGTGTCCTTGTCTGAATTGGTCTATCGGGTCTTTTATAACTTCTGAACTATAGACAGTGTCCATAAATAACTCCTAATAGAGATACATACTGCTACATTAAAGCATGTGGACTTTGGTTTGTTAGATTTTATTTCAGCAAGTTTCCAACAAATGCAAGACACTTGAAAACCAAGCCACACAGTAGTAATACCAGGTTACTTGAGTAAGATCCTGCTCAAATATAGGAAACCACGCTATCTGTGCTTTCCTATACATTTAATAGATATCTTCAATAAACATGCTTTTTCCTGGAACTGTTATATTTTGTCTGCTAACAATGAATAGTTGAAGTCTTATGTTAATTAGTCTAAACAATCCATAATGTTTTTACTTGTGTCCTGGAAATCAACTTCCCTGACTTCATGAAGCTATACTTCTTTTGTAAGGTAATATAATGATCACCTGTGCTTAGCAGGGTATATTCTATAAATAAAGTCCAACCAAACTGCAGCTTAGACAGGGAGGTTTCCAGAGAGTATTCTTCATGCTGTAGCTTAAGAAAAGTAACTTCTGAGAATTTATTTTAAAAGTTATTTTGCCAATAGCAACCAGAACCTTTTTAATCATACAAAATTGTAAGCTTCCTTACCCCCACCTAAGTTTTCAGTAGTAATACTTTTAGTTTTGTAAGAGACTTAAGAGTTAGTATCAACATGGCTGTTAGTTTTATAATTGACCAAAGTCACGAAGAATGCCCCTACCACAGAATACACTAAAGAAAAAGTCTTCAGCTGCAGGCAGAAATATATTCTACACGCTGCCTCTACTTCAATGTAGTCAAACATAACATTCTCTTGGGTAAACACCCAGTATTAATTTCCAGACCAGAACTGCATCTATCCACTTTGTTAAAGTGAAGAAAGCTCTGCTCTGGAGAGAACACACATGCTCTGGTGTAGGTAAGCCTTCACAACTTATCTGCTTATCAAGTCTAGTTGAGGTTGGGTGGGTTGTTTGCGGTTTTTTTCCCCCACCTCTGCAAAAAATGAAATGTGAATCAAAAAACCTGGAATTCCTATTATGAGGAAATTCCAGTCTTGAAGATAGAGTCTTGCCAATTTCACTCTTCGTATCAATACTGTGTCACTTACAAGACTGACTTTCATCTAACTGTATGGATTTGAAAGTACTGGTTTTAGATCAAACTGACCTGGTTTTCAACTTTGGCAAGGCTCACTGTTAAAGTTATATCTAACATGAGAATGTTAAGTTAATGGTGTTGCTACATATATACACATACAATAATGAATTTCAGATTCACACCAAAGCTCTGTGCAGTCAAGAAACTTTATCTTCACTAGCATGAACAGATCACCTTTGTCCATCACGCATACAATCACATCAGAAGAGCAAAGCACCGGTAGCTTAAGATAAAGTATCTACACCACAGTTTAGGCAGAAAGGGAAAAAATGCACCAGGACCAGTCTGTATCAAAGCCATCTATTCTTTCAGAGAAAATAAAAGTCAGATTGAAGACAGCACACTTCTCTTACATGTCAGACTGATTAGCTACTACTACTCCTTTTGTGCATCAGAACATACCCACACCATTCAATGCATTCATATACTAATTCTACCCTTCAGAAAAAGGAAGGCCAAGGAATATTCTATTTTGTCATAGACATCACCTTTACTGTTTTTCCAAGCATGACAACTTAAGTAAAAAAAGTCAGAGCACAAAACATTTTGAAGTTTCAGCTACCATCATTTGTGTTCCTTTGATAGTAGTTTACACACTTTTTGTGAAAACCCTCCTCCCAAAACTAAAGTGGGCTTCAAAACGCTTTACAAGAGAAAGAGCAAGTCAGGAGTAAGTTCAGTTCTGTCTAGTATCCCAAAAAGTTACAATTACATCTGGCAAGTTTCATATCTTCCATTTAATCACTCCAAATCAGAAGCAGTTCTAGTTAATGCCAATTCATTTGTTCACTCAAGCCCTGCAATACAGGGGAAAAAATTATGCTCATTAATAGTTTATAATGCTGTCTTGGGACACAAATGTATTAATGCAGTTTAAGAGTTTCCCATGTATCTGGTTTACTGGCTACCAGACAGATGGGGGCTAAAGTTGCTTTCACTTTCTGGGGATATTCTGAGAGGCCAAAGTAACTGCAGAGGCAAGATATATGCATGCGCCAACTGGTTTAGCTGGGATTCAAACACCTTAAACAGCAGTTTAAGGAAGCATTCTCTTCCCACTAAGGGGATACTCTAAATACTGCTGTTTGCCAGAAAAGGCTTAAAAAATGCTATAGCTATGAATGTACCAAAGAAAGCTGTTTTCAGGTAGGTGGAATAGAATGAGCAATTCAACAGTACACATGAAAAGCTTGCATCTTTCACTGACTTATTCACTTCACAATCACTGACAAGACTGATGTACATATTTCTGCACCTGCAATTGTAAAAGCAGATAAAATATTTAATGTAATTTACAATGTATTTTACCAGCTTGGCATACAGGATGAACAGAATATATCAAAGTAGTTGACAATTATAGGCTTGTGGAGGCCCTGCAAAAATATTACTTCAGATATCTGCTAATTTAAAAAAAAAATCAATTTGCATTTTAGAAGTGATACAATTCAATCTACCACAAAATACAAAGAGCTGCAAAAACGTATACCATTCCAACAACAATGTATATAAGTTATTAAATAATGATCTGATTTAAAAGAATATAAATGAAGCCTTTAAGTAGGTCTTTTCTACATGCATATTATTCCTCATTAAAGAAAAATATGTAAAAAGGCCATTGGTAATTGCTTTGTTAACCACTGTAGAAAACGCCAATTCTCTGGTCACAGACGCCACTAGTTTAGCACTTAAGGTCTCTGCAGTGTTACATGTGATTATTTTTAAATACTGTTAATTCTATTACTCCATTGGTAAAGAATGCGTGACTTGGAATATGGCAGTCTTCATATTGAGAGGGCAGTGATGCACAGTTTTATAATTATCCAGAAGAACAGCACCCTCCACTGCTCTGTACTTGTGGCTCATCATCAATAATCTGTACACCTCGCCTTGCTATTCCTGACTGACTGGAACCATTGCCTCTTGCTCTTTCATCCACCTGAGCAGTTTCTATCATTCCTGTAAAGGAAGAAATGGATTAGATAATATTCCACTGCATTTTTACACACGACATTGAGATCTTAATCTATTTGAGTTACATGCACAGAGACAAAGTTCAGGAAGACTGGTTCTCCTATTTATTATGCTGAAGTACTCAGATACTCAGATATCACGTAGCATAGCTCCAAGAACATAAACTTAAGTCTTCTTTCTAAAGCACCAAACATCCCTCAGCTCCTGCTGACTAAGGGAGACCTTAGATGCTCAGATGTTCTGGAGTTAGTGACTTCAAAAGCTAGATTAACCCACCCATATTAAGAACATTCTGTTAAAAAAGAAAACAAACAAGAAACCCCACACACCACACATACTGTGGGCCTCCTCCTCCTCCCAGAATAAAAGAAACCCCAACCTGCTCTTCAGACACGCAGGTGAAGTTTTGCTTAAATTCTTGTATCATAAGAACACAATGAATAGGACAAATTCCCTGTGTTGTAACGTTTTTATCCTATATTCTGTGATCTTTACCATTTGCTTAGACTGCTGTGTAAAATTTGCATCATTACAACTTCAAGTTCATGATTTGTAATTGGCATTATTTGAGAAGATTTTTTGAAAGAGGTTGCAACACAGTGTTTCAAGCAGGCAATAGTGAGACCAGTCACCTGAAGTTTGATTTGAGATTACTATTTACGCATGCTGTATGAAACAGTGGTCAGTGCTCCAACAAATGACAAGATGACATTTTTGGAGTATAGCATGGATTTGCAATATTGTACACATTCATACGTCAATCTTCCACAGTGTTACAGTACACAACTGGCTTGAAATAGACTCAGATGAAGTCAGTTCTTAGTAATAGTTTACAATAAGGCTTTTCTATATGGTTTTAAGCATTTTGAAGCCTTGAGCATTTTGTGAATGAGCTCTTTACAAACAAACTAGATAAATACCTACTTTTACAAAGGTCAAGAAACAGTTCTTCAATTCCTTTGTTCTGTTTAGCTGAAGTATGATAATGTTTTGCTCCAACAGATTCAGCGTACCTGTAGGAATGCAGATACAAAACTTCATTGTACTAAAGGACTGTCTTTCTAAGCCACTTTATATGAAGCAAAAAGACAATCACAAGAGGTTTTATTCTGAGTTCGGAGTTAATCTACACAGGCCGATTTAATGTAAAAAGGGAATTATGTGGTTAAAACTGCCGTGATTGATGAAAAACGCTAGATTAAATAAAGTTTCACGTCTAGAAATGCATTTAAGCTGCAAATGTTGATTTTAATCATGCACAACTCTCAAGTTACACTGTGGTCAGTAAGGACATTCCGGGACCCAGATACTAACAGAACACTTAACACAGCAGCCAGCTAGGCACTGCTGGTTTATGCCTGGCAGTCATTAACAGCATCACAAGTTTATTACTCCAGCATAATTCTGCAATGACTATTTCTATTAATAATTGGTGTGACTTACGTTTCTGCTTCTTGCACCGAAACATGTCTCTCTTTTTCCAAGTCTATTTTGTTACCTGTTGGAAACAAGTTCATCTTTCAAGTCTTTGTACTCCAAAATTACCCAAGAGAAAGCAGTCACATAATCATCGTACCCCATCATTTTCTTACAAGCTGTCCCAGTAAAGACCAACTCTTGCACAGGTCTCCATTTGGAGCACAATGATATGATTTAAGAATCCCCTTTCACTCAAGCATTTACAGGCAGTAAAGATGAAGTTCTACTTCTGTAGAGAGATCATGATAGCTAAATACCTCCATATAAGCCACCAATTCAGCCTTCTGCTTTTCTTTTGTAATTTATTAGCAGCTTATCTGTGCTGCAGAGGTAGTTTTTGTAGAATATCCATACATCTATCCTCCTGAAAGTCACTACAGTTAAAAGTCACTTTTAATCACTACATCCGATTTCAAATCTAAACCCAGTATTTCTGTTGCATTCTGTTTGCATTGCAATATCCAAGCTTTAAGACTCATTCTACTCCCACAAGCACTTGATTATGAAAAGACAAGCATCCAGTCTATGCCACTGAGAACAGTAAAAACCATGTTTGAGTACTCGCAAGAAGGATAATACGTTTGAGGTTTAAGTTTCTCTTGGTTAAACCACAGTCTGCAGGTGCCTGTACCATGCACTTCTGACATGGTGTATCACTGAATTCGAAACGAACTCTTATTTTCCTCAGTGTGATCTACTGAAACTTCTAGCTCCAACTGAATTTTAAAAATAAAATTAACATAAGCTTTACCCCCTCACATGTACAAGCTGTCAAATCAGTGTTTGGAAGATGCTGTTAATCAACAGAAACATTTCTGATTCAGTCATTAGAATAACATGTTAAAAAAGACTTACCTACTATACATAAACAGATTTCATTTCCCAGCATTTTTCTTAATTCCTTAACCCAGTTTTTTACCTGCAAAAAGAACAGAGGCAAGTTTATTTTCACTTGAGGTAATACTAGCTTAGGCATTGTGGAACTGACCCATTTCCTTCATTAACTGTTTACTCGAAACTTCAAACAAACATGTTTAGAGCAACATAGGTGGACAAAATATTCTTTAGATAGCTATGCATGGCTCT